ATATTGATTTGTGTTATCAAAGGTATAATCAGGATCGTTTAAATTGCCAAAGTAGAGAGAGAGGTGCCTAGTACATGTCGCTCAGGGCTACTACATTTGTTTATGCAGGTAGAGTACTGTACGGCCCTAGAGGATGTCATTCATATAGATGCTCATGTAAATAGCTCCCCCTAGGGTTGTGCAGTGTGCAGCATGCGCACAGCTGCTGATTTCAATACAACATTCTTAAGAGGCCATGAGGGTAGAAAAGCTGATACACCTTGCTCACCACCAGGCCTGACTGAGCTGGTCTGGCTAACTGGGTAGGTGTGGGCTCTCACTTCCCCCACTTCTTCATTGACCCCCTCCCTCTACAAGTTCATGTCCAAAGACACTGACCTTCCCAGATAGAGGAGGATGTGCTTGTAACTCTGCTGGAGCCCCCAAACTCCAGAGGCTTCTCAGTAATCCTGGAGAGTCCGTCAAGATGAGGACCGAATGTCCTTCCCCTCTTCCTAAAGAGATGCTTATACAAACACACATGGCTTTTAACCCCTTTTTAAGGACTGCCTTTTAAATACCAAGATTCGTCTCAGCTCTCCATGAACTGACAATGTCACTAACTCAAAAACGGTTTCATTTTCTAGCCTCCCAAAAGGCATCAGCTAGGTCCTTCATTTCCCAAAGGCCAATTTTAAACATCCTATCCTTATATGTCCAACCTTTGTATTCTTAAACTAAGTAATCTTCATTTCACTTATGGAAAAATAATTTGGGGGGCGGGGGAGAGAAAGAAAAACACAACCCCTCCATTTAGCTTGACTTGTGCATATTCATTGCATGTAATGTGATCATATTTCTTTCTGTTGAAGCAAAGGGAGCACTGGTATTTCTCTGATAAAAAGTAGAAGCCTATGGTCATGACAAAACAGGCAAGGACAAGAGGAGACGTAAAAGTCACTATCACGTCAGCAGAATACCTTCCATAATAGTCTATTTCCAAATTAGGTGAACTTTAATCTATTCCTGACTTGGCCAACAAATGAAAGTGTGACCTTGGCCCAGTCAGCTCCCCTTCTGAAGCATTAGTTTCCTTATCTGCACCACTGCCTGCAGGATAGGGTTGATGGGGGATTAACTAAGCTAATAAATGAAAAGTATAAAGTTCCTGATATGTGGTAGATTTTTCACACCTCATTAATATGCTCTCATTTACTTGTTATTTTCAGTACCTACTTATTACTGGCATAATACTGGGGATGGCTCCATGAGAATCAAAGAAATGTATTAGCTTTTTCACTTCATGCTGCCTACAATACAATCATCCATTCAATAAACAATTATTGAGTGCTCATTTTGTGCCAGGCACACTGGTAGGTGTTAAGAGTTACAAACATGAAGAAAAATAAGCCAAGGCCCCTGCCCGCAAGTAGCTCACATTCCAGTGAAGACATGTAAACACATACAATATATTTATAACACAGAATAAGAAGAGCTATACCAGAGGTATATAGCATGAATGGTCTCAGAGTCCTAGAAAGCACAGGTGAGATTAACCTGTGAGAGAAGGGCCTGAGCAGAGAATTTTAGGTAGGTGAACCTATGTGTACAGAGAACAGGATATGTATGAGGTTTCTGCAAATTTTAAACGTCTGTGGAACTAAATAGTTCTTGCAAACATAGTGGGGGACATGGCTGAAGAAATTAGCTGAGGATGAAGGATCAAAAGCCACTCAAGAAGTTTAGTTTATTTTCTAAAGAGGTGAGGAGGAGCCCTGGGAGACTTTTAAGCTGCCTGGGGACACGCCCAATTTCCTGCCCCTCAGAAAAGTCCCTCTGGAGTCTGGGGGTATGGTAGAAGTTGGGCTGGACTGGCCCATGAAGAGGTGGCTACCACTGCCATTTAAGAGGAAGACTTCGTAGGACTCAAAGACTGACAGAAGGGAGATGGGGATAAGCTGAGAGTGACTCATGCTACTGGGTGTTTGGCAACGCCATTAACGTGGTCGAAAATGAGAGGGCTAGTTTAGCAAGGATTTACACACACGCCTAGTCAGTTAAGTAGCATATCAAAAGAAGAACTATACTAAATACGAGAATACCACTGGCTTTAGAACATTGTGCCTAATTAGACAAAGGAACAAGTGCTGCCAGTTAGAGGAAGCAAATGCTGCTTGTTCTCTTTCAAGACTCCTCTTTGCATTTTTTTCTCCTTTCTGGGAACCAACATCACTGGTACACCTGAGAGTAATTTGCCTATTATCTCATTCTTAACATCTGAATATCTCTCTCTCTAGGTCCCTAGCAGCACTTAGGAAGAAATTACTACCTCTTCTTCCCTGGATCTCACGCATCTTGCTGTATTCAGTATTTTGTGCTACTGCCGACACCGGTTTTCATTGCATGAGTGTGACCACGTAATTCCTGGTGCATTTTATTGTAGTTCAAGATTTACGGAGAACTCATAACTTTCCAGAAAAATCCTTGGTTCTGAGATATAAACAAGATAAAGCCTGCCCTTAATAACTTTATGAAATAGGGAGTCCATTCAGCCATTCAATAGCTAGTTGTTCAGGAGCGTTGCTATAGTGAAGGTGCTGGAACTGCAGAGTGGAACTAGACACGATTCCTGCCGTTAAAGGGTTTTAATGTGATGGAGAAGGAAAATAAATCGAGTCTTAAAGGAATGCGTAATACATGATATATTAGACCATAAGACGCTATGGGAGCAAGGAATAAGAACAGCCAACCTATACAAAGATGTTCGGAGGAGCTTTCTGTGGGCGACACGTGCATAAAACATGGAACACCGTCTACTAGGAATAGGATTCAAAGCAAGGTATATACCAAGTGCTCTTGAAACTATTTCCCTCCAACTGAGTGATCCAGCAAGACTTTTTGGAAAAGACTACATTTTAGCTGGAACTTGAAAGGATCAAGTGAATAAATTCCTTAAAAGTGAGAAATATAAGGGCATGTTTGAGGAACTAGGTGACGTCCTTTACCTTAGGTTTGGGGCTACAAGACAAGGAAGGCAGCAGAACAGTACTTTTTAAAAAGGTGACAGCAAGTCTAGTTGTATGGTACTACAACGGTCAAGAAATACAAGGAGGCAGTGAGTGATTAAGAGCTAAGAGGAAAGAGCTCTAAGCACAAGTCTGAGGAATAACGAGGTCACCAGTGAGTCTGTAATAAGGTGCCTGCACAGCGTTGGGGTCTCATACTCCTTCAGGGCCGGAAAGGCATTCTGGCCTACTCGGTGGACGCTGGGTGAATGCTGGTTCACTGAGTTAATCTTTCCTTAGCTAGCTAGAAACCGCAGAGAACCTGGAGCTCCCTGTTGCTGAGTCTAAACTTTAACCAAAACTTTAGAAGAAACCTAGACACCTCAAAAGAACTGAGAAAAAGCACCGTTCTGTTCCTTATTCAGGTACAAATGGAGAAACCAAATATCTGTCCTCCAAAAGTGGCACCAAGGGTGTCCCGCCTTTTTATGCAAAGTTCTAACTAAATTTTTTGCGGGGATGGGAGGTGGGTGGGCGAGGACTAAGAAAAGAGATACAGACAGCCAAGGAAGTTCTGGAAGGTTTTCCTGGAACTTTTTTCTCTCTTTGCCTGAGGGAAGGCCACTGAGGGCAGAGTACTGAACTTGAAGCCTGAGTCTCTTGCCACTACCTGACACTGAACAAGTCACTTAATCTTTTAAGTCTCTCTTGCGTTCTGTGTTCCCATTCGTAAAATAAGGAGGTTGTGGGCTCAGTTCAGAGTGTTCAAGTAACACGGCCAAGGTCACACAGCAAAGCGGCGAGGCTATACAGCCATCCGAAGTGGCCTGACTACGCGGTCCCAGTCTGATACCGGTTGACCTGCCCCAAACTGGGGCCCGGGGCTCCCTTCCCTCAACCACCCGACAGCCCCCTCCTCCTCCTCCCTAAACTCCCAGGCCACGCACCCCTTTCACCACCTAGCAAGCTTAAGTCGCTCAGGAAGGGCTCGTGTCCCGCCTGGGGAAATTTTTCACGCCGCTCGGCCAGCAGAGCGCGCCCCGCCCACGGTCCTCGTCACTGGATTGGTGGAATTCAGGGAGGCGCCGAGCCGGCCCGAATGACCTCCCAGCCCCGCCCCGCCACCCGGCGCGCTGGGCGCACGCGCCCCGAGCGTGCGTGCGTGCGTGCGTGCGTGCGTGTGAGTGAGCACGTGAGGCTCCGGAACGTGCACAGGGGGCGGGGGCAGGAAACGGGAGGCGAGGGGCGAGGCTGCCGTTGCCATGACAGTGACGTCAGGCGTCAGGGAGCGAACCCGGCCCCTTCCCCACGCGCGCGCGCGCGCACACACAGAGACATGCACACGCGCGCGCACCGACGCTCTCCCTCAGACACACTGGAGGGAAAGGTCAAACTAAAGGCGAGGGACAGGGAGGCCGGAGGAGCCGCCGCCGCCGCCGCGCGCCATGACGGACGCGGCCGAGG